GCGCTCACGGAGGATATTTTGAAATGCGACTTTAGCATGTTGTAGCACATAGTGTTAGCTAACTTGCATAGAAGTTCCATCGTCTTTCGCCGTTGAGAAGTTTCAAATATATTGCTATAAATCGGCGCAAATAATTTTGGGACACCCTGTACATTTGCATCAACCAAAACTTTACGACGGCTGTTTTTTGGTTATGCTGCTTGGGGTGAATGTATTACTCTTGGGCATGAGTAAGGCAAGAAAGACAGCTCAATGAAAGAGGTGGGTCATGCCTTTTTCGCTAATTTCCTAAAATGCTCTTTATGCCGCTCGCTCTCATCTGCTTAGCGCTCTTCCGTAAAGGGTTCATTGTGTTAATTTCTCCTGACCTGTGATAGAAATAGCTGTAACGGAGGTATTCGTCTTGCTGGGCACAAGGAAAACTACACAAATGAGCCGGCTCTTCACGAACATCATTCTGTTCTTCTTAGGATCAATCGCGAATTCACCCCTAGCAAGCACGGTCCGAACTAGGCCCTCATTTGTTCAACCTGCTCAATATACGGGAATCGACAAAGCGAAGCAAAGGTCAAATCAGATATCCACCTTAGCTGCCACGTTTTTCCATTCGGAGCGATGCACGAACTTTTCAAGAGAGGAGCTGCTCGTTTGAGATTGGCGATTCTCTTCATGACGTATTTAAGATGCTTCTAAGGATGATTCTCGTCCGAAATCGAGAGCACGAAGTACCTCTATAACGCAGGAAACCATTTTTACTACATGGCGGTTATGATCGGCAGTACCAAACTCTCTTCGGGATCCTGATTGCCTTCATTCAATGTCGCACCAATCCCGCTAAGGGCGATTCAATGAAATTGCTCATGAATTATAAATTGCAGTGCTCAGCACCTTTGATGGTGTCTGCTACTGCACTGGCGGAATGGTGTCGATTTCCACTTTCTTTTCTCCAACGTGCCAGCGTGTTCAGCTGACTGAGTTAGTCATGAGTGGGACTCCTCTTCTCTCTATGTACAGTATCTTCTGTCGCCAGTTAGATACTCAAAGTCCGACTTGACTTCATCCCCCAGCTATTCCTCGAGGCATCTCGTCTTACACCTCTTCCAATAATCGCGGCTTCTGTTATTGCAACTCTAGTTGACAGAAGCTGTTTGCTCGACTGTCTCAATGTTCTCGTTTTTGATCCATTGCAGACACGGCCAACTGCAGATCCATCCCTACATCGTCATTTGGCAGAAGGAGGTCTCATAGTCATTATTTCAGGGCCAGTATCCACTATTGCAACCGCATCCTAGCCTTACGATAAAAGTCTTACAATTAGAGCATCTCAAGGAATACTCACTACCTCTTTTACATTGATGCCGCGTTTATTCTAACTTGGTCAATGCTACCGTCGACCAATGAATCACTCCCCAGAAAAGGAACCTTACAAATTTTTCGATGTCTAAAGAGTATCTTTCTTCAAGGCGATTGAACATTAGTATTCCTCCCTCCGAGTTGAAGGGCGTGCTCCTCTCTACAGTCAGCTTAAGCCCATTCTCCGCCAACACGCCATTTCGTCTGATAATTTCCTCTAACATTTGCTATCAGAGCAATGCAATGACGTAGATTAGAGCACAGTTTTGATCGGTACCTATCCACAAGTTGTTCTGTTATGCTATCTAGTTTAATCTGTAAAAGTCTCGAAGTAGACTCTCAGGGTTCCCCAACCTTGACCAGGTCTCAGACAGCTAAACTCAGCCTTGACCCCCTAGTAGAGGTGTATTACCTCAACTAGGCGGTGAAGGCTGTGTATAGCTAAATGAGACCTATGTACATGTCTCTCATGAGGAGTTGGGTGTTCTAGTGTAATAAGGCTCTCGTAGGCATTTTTCTCATGACATTCACTGGTTGCCGTGAGATGCGGTGGGATCAGCCAATGTCTTCATCCTCTGTTGTTCTGCAAAGAAACTTTTACACGTCCACAGACTACTCTTTTCACCTCCGTTTGACATGGGTTGTTTTCCACATAATGGTACCTTGACTTTTCTCCGCTGTCTTCCTTACTCCGATGCCCAAAGCAGCTCGATGCGGTACGCAACGCTATCTAGCATGGTGCAATTTCCACCGCAATATTTTCTCCGACATCTTTTTTCTAGGTCTCTTGGGGAGACCTGGTGTGCATCTGCTGCACGCTAAAGTAGATCTTTTTAGTCCAGGGTGATCAGTGAAGTTCAGTAGAAGTTGACTCTAACAGTAGCGGGATGCCAAAAGTCGCCAGTGCACAAGACAAATACTGAACCCATTTGCCAGCGCTGCGCAGTTTGTCGGAGGCACAGAAGCAAGAATATTGTGGACGAATTGATGATGTACTGTAGGACGTTTGTAAACGACCGTTTCACAAAAAAAACGAATTATAGGTGTTATACAAGACCACTTATGTTTTTCTTTCTCAGTGTTGGAGTGTGTCGTGAGAGAAAACGCGTAATGAAAAAGACGACAGGAAGGTGATGGAAGAAAAGGGGTGCTGAGAGTTTATGATAATCAGCATGAAAGTGGTATCACTCACTATCCCCTTCAGCCTATGCATAGTAGGGGTGATTTCACTGCAGAATTACAACACTCTGCTCTCGCTCCGCTTCTCTTCGTGACTACACGGGTTCCGATCTATGTTCTTTAGTTATAAGGGTTCACGTCAAAAATTCTTCAGGCTCATCTGTTCGAACGTTTCAATGATGTCAATTTGAACTTCGCTCACGTTTTGCCGTCTATAAACACTCATCAAATCAAAACTGATGACATCGTGGACGAAATTATTTTGAATAGAGCGAATCCCACCCTCGTTGGTTGAGTACTGGAATTGATTATGTTTATTATTGAGTAATACCGAATGACAGTGAAGTTTAATGAAGCTAATTGTACAGTAGTTTGTGATAATAACTGTGAAATGTCGAATTTTTTTCAAATAAAAGTTTTGCCAACGTCTTTAATGCAGGCAGTCAGTTATACCGGGGTGCGGGGACGTTAGTCTCGACTGACATTACTTCGCGCCGAGTTGCGAAGTGACCTCAATCGTGACGAACCTCGTCTTACTTATGAGAGTGGTGGCAATGATGAGGATAGTGAGAAAATGAAATTTCAGGAAAATTAGTTTTTCAACGTAAAACTTCTATACTTCTTAGTTTAAAAAGTTTTATTACCATGCAAGATGATAGAAATTTCAACAAAAAAAATTTCAATGAAATCTAAAGAAGCCTAATTTTTCTAATAAGAAGCATCTCAAAAATAATAATTAAACAACTCAGATGGTCTTGTTCGTTACGAATTTGGACACCTTTATGCAAAACCCCTCAATTTGGATGCGAATTGCTTCAAACAAGATAGCTGTATATAAATCGCTCACACACCAGCTTAAATAGTAGCTGACGATCTCTCTTCAATGTGGTGAATTTAGCCTGAAGTATTGCAATATTCCATGAGAAGTGTGAAATGGCCTGGCTGATCAGCCGGCGGGCGTTCAATGACCTTTCAAACAAGGGAAGCCCCAATATCAAACAGATACGTCGCTTCTGTAAATGTTGTTTGATATCCCAGATGAGTGGAAATTCAAAAAAAAAAAGAATGTTTTTTACACGAACTTCATTTTTATGACCCTCG